AAGCCGCGGGGCACGGGGGCAGCGGGCCAGCCCAGACAGGCCGTGGCTGTCCTGCTGCCCGCGGGCTCCACGGCTTTGCTCTGCTTTGCTCCCTGTCTCCCTGGTCTGCAGACCAGGGGGACGGGGAGCAAAGTGGTGGAACACGTGGGCAGCGGACAGCCGCTTTGCTCCCGCTTTGCTCCCAGGGAGACGGGGAGCAAAGCAGAGCAAAGCCAAGGAGCACACGGGCAACGGACAGCCCAGACGCGTCTGGGCTGTCCGCTGCCCGCGTGCTCCGCCGCTTTGCTCCCCGTCTTCCTGGTCTGCTGGAGACCAGGGAGACGGGCCCCGTTCGTAACTGCGTATCCGACATAAGTCGGATCCGCGTAACTCGGGGACTGCCTGTAATGTGTTTAGTACTTTTCATTTAGCCCAGAAAAAACATAGTTTATCCTGCTTTGATTGCTTTTTTCTTTATCCCCTTACTGCACCCTGCTTTCTCTCATTCATTCTCCCTCATCAGAAAGTGTAGTGTGTGAAGTTAGTCTACTGATCAGTGTGTCTTCCTTCTTCTAATAAGTCACTTAGTAAGTTTGACTCCCAGGCAGCAAGCAAAGGCCTTCAGTCTACACTACAAAGATAAATCGGAAAAAGAAACTCAATTTGCGGTACACAAATTGTGTATCTTTTTCCAATTTACTTCCAAAAGAGGCTTTTCCAAAATTTGGCCCGTCTACACAGGGCCAAATTTTGGGGAAAAAAACCCTCTTTCAGAGCATCCCTTCTTCCTCATAAAATGAGATTTACTGGGATGCTGAAAAAAACGCATCAGCTTTTCCAACATTTTTTCCGGAAAGGCAGATGCGTTCCTAGGACACGGCAGAACTAGTCTAGACATAACCTCAGTGAAGTTGGAGGTTCTTAAATAATTAGTGACAGGCTAGATGTTTGTGCCTGTGATAAACCTGAGATGTGGTAGTCTAATCATGTTTGGGATGATTAGCGTTTGAAAGAGTTTTATATGAATTTCTTGCTTCAGTGACTCTTCCTGCCCCACATAATAAATCAGTTGCCTCATCAGTTGCAATGTGGTCATTCCCAATGCCCACTACAGGTTGGACCTCCCTGGTCTGGCATCCTTGGAACCTGACTGTCCTGAACGAGGGAATTTACCGGACCAGAGAAGGTCCCCTGCCCCTGACCCTCGAGCCCGCTGTCTCTCCCCATTGTCAACTCCACTTCCAGCCCGGACAGTCCCCCTGTCTCTGGCCTGGGTGGGATTCCAGCTCTGGTCAGCCATGTCTGACACCAGCCCCGCTTCCACCAGCCCCGGCCCTACTGCCACCAGACTTGATCCCAGTGGACTGCCAGACCTGCTGCTGGCAGGGCTTCCGAATGCCACTCCCCCCGACACTAGACTCCTGACCTTGTGGCTCTCTGGTCCAAGAACATTCATGATGAACAAAACTATCTAAAGCCCAAGATTTGGTGGTGATGGGGGACTTCAACTATCCAGATAGTGCTATCCAGATAGCACAGGCTATCCAATAAGTTTTTGGACTGCATCGGAGACAACTTTCTGTTTCAGAAGGTTGAAAAAGCTACCAGAGGAGAAGCTGTTCTGGATTTGATTTTAACAAATAGGGAGGAACTAGTTGAGAACTTGAAAGTGGAAGACAGTATGGGGGACAGTGATCATGAAATAATAGAGTTCATGATCTTAAGGAAAGGTAGAAGGGAGACCAGCACAATTGAGGTAATGGATTTCAGGAAGGCAGATTTTGATAAGCTCAGAGAACTTGTAGGTAAGGTCCCATGGGAAGCAAGACTGAAGGAAAAAACAACTGAGGAGAGTTGGAAGTATTTCAAAGGGACGTTGTTAAGGGCCCAAAAGCAAACAATTCCGCTGTGTAGGAAAGATAGAAAATATGGCAAAAGACCAGCTTGGCTTAACAAGGAGATCTTGCACAATCTCAAAATAAAAAAGGAGTCATATAAAAAATGGAAACTAGGACAAATAACAAAGGATGAATATAGGCAAGCAACACGGGAATGCAGGGGCAAGATTAGAAAGGCAAAGGCACAAAATGAGAT